CTCTTTTTTTTCTAAAAGGGTTTTTTAATTTTTTTACTTTTTTTTTCCTGGGAACCTGTTATCACTATGATAGATTTAGTATCTTTTAATTCCAGTTTAAAAATCTTTATTACACAGAAGCCACCTAATTTCATCTTGGTTTCTGCAAATTTTTTAAAAGTTACCCCACTGAACCAGGGGTGAATTTTAGCTGGTACGTTGGCAAGTAATTTTAGAGGTGGTTTATAGTGCTAAATAAAATTTTTATACAGAAATATAGGTATAAGATTTAGTGCAATGTATACAACTATATGTGCTAAGTTATAAAATAACTTTGAAAATAACTGCTATGTGTGTTCATGTACTTCTCCTGTAGGTATACTGAGTACTGGCATAAAGTTTTTCCAGGTATTCACTTCTGCACTGTACTTGTACACAATAATCCCACATAGGATGCAAGTATAATTACATTGTTAGAAGCATATGCCATTCTCAACACTTATGTAATTTGATTTTGAAAATATAGTTTTAAATTTTTTAATCGTGAATGTTATGTGTCTCAAACCTTCATAAATCAAAAGTTCTACTTTTAAGTTTGAAAGTGCTCAGTGAAATATGTTTATAGACACGAATTTGCAACAAAAAAAAAGTAATTTATGTACTCCAGCAAAAATTCCTGCATCTTAAATAATATTCAAAAGTAGGCAAACGTTGATAATTATACCAAATATTTATTATTCTGAAAACATAGATGATTTCTATTTTTTGTCCTTTCTCTTAAATAGTTTATAAATGCTAATTAATGTGTTTATGTATATACCATTTGTACTTAGTTATGATAGTGAATATAAAGAAAACAAGACTTGTGGAATACTATGTATGTCTTCAGCACTCAATTCATTATTCTTAAAGTTCAATATTTTTATAAGCGACTGTGTGGAATTAGAAGTCCCATCAGATAAGCTAACTTGGAACTTTTTTTACATTTTTAATATGGAGTAGGGGATTGTGAATTTGTGTATTAAGAAGGTGCCTGGAAGTGAGTGAATAAGTAATACTAATCTAAAAAAAAAAGACAGAAATTAGTGAGAAAAAGTGTTCAGATGAGTAAAAGCACTTGGCAAAATACATTATTATGATTGAGAAGGACCATAAACTAGCAGAGTTTCTAAGTTATTGATTTGCAGTTATGTGAAGGGATTGATAATTTTTTTTAAGTACATTCACCCATGTAATTGCATTTCTGTAAATGTGTACTTTTTAATGCTTTGTTTTTATAAATTTTAATACGTGAATGATACGTCTTTCAATGATTGTGTAAACTTGAAAATTATAAATATGTACATGTATTACTTAGATATTTTTAATGGAAAATTATAATATTTATTCCTTTATATGGGATTTTGGTACCTGTTGAAAGTGTAATTTAAAGGTTTATAAGGGGTGTAACATGAATTACATGATGGATTGTCCATGCAGTCTCATATCTCTATGGGTCTAAGTTTTGGGGCAACGCGTAATAAAGCAATTACCAAAAAAGAAAATACTTTCAAATAATTAGACAAGAAGAACATATAACATACTGCATCAGCAATAAGAAATTACACAATGGTTTATTCAATGTAGATAATTTGCATTAGTTAATTCATTGTCTACTTTTTTTTGGACTACATTCTTATGGCCAACTTATGGGTGAAAATATTTGGAATCAGTCATAACAATAGAATTTCAGCACTTCTCAAAGACTTTAATATTAAGGAAGTGCCTTGAAAAAAAAAAGATTAGAGGATTAAAAAATACAAGTTGAAAAGGATAGAGCTTCATACTTATTAGTGAGAAAACAAGTTCATATGAG